AGGCCAGGCCTTGTTATGAATTATGAATTGATTTCAGTTGCATCACAGAATAGTCACTTAATTTCTGGTTTAAGGCAGCTATATTATTGTGGAGTTTTTGCTGTGGTCTTCAGCCCAACTTTTAACCCTGTTTAAGGGTCATCTAGGTTAATTGACTGTCTTCTTTGTTGGGTGACTATACACATTTGGTGGAATTTCCTGAGACATACATTGGACTCATGGATCTAGTGGGGAGTAGCATGGAAGATGTGTTCGTTTCCTCTGCAAACTTTTTATACTTCCTGTAAGGTTCTTCTTCAAGAAGTGTTCAAGGATACACTTTAACGTATGCTTGTGCTGATCAGCAGGGCTTGGAGGCAGGCCAAAGATACACATTCAATGGTGCCAACTAAAAGCAGGCTATACTGCTTTCCCTATATATCTGCATTTAGCCCTGTCTACCTCAGTAACATTAGACTATTTGGGGCAAGGATGTAGGAAATCAGTGTGTAGGCTGCTGAGCCAGTCTGTTTTCTGTCAGATCTTTTTGGAGAAGGATTTCCAGACCACAACCTCAGATTGAAGAAGAGAAGCATGGGTCAATTTCTCCTAATGCATCTAGCAAACAAACAAAAAACATACTAAAGAAAAACTTTGTTGGGTGCTTGCTTATATGTATTCCAAGTAAGTGGTGTGTGTGCTGCATGCATGACTGCCAGAAAGTTCTTACTCTAGCTGCTACCCATCTGTGGAGCCCCCTGGCACAGCGCCAGTTACATGACTCAGCCAACTCGGACTTTCCTTAGTTCCTTCTTACTGCCAGTGGCAACTGTTGAAACATTTGGCCCTCTTGCTTTGCAAGTACAATTCATCACTAGGTAGGTTTCGATAGTTCATTTATTTGTCAGTTAAGTACTTAGCAGTAGGAGTGAAGGGCCCTTCCCTTCTCTCCCATGTCTCTTAGGGGCTTGGAGCATGCCACAGCCCCAGGGCTTTAAGCTGTGCAGAGATTGCTTGAAATGCATGCCAAACAGCAAACCATACGACTCATGTCTTCGGTATCTCAGGGTAGCTCACCAACTGGATCAGTGCAAGATCTGTAAGGCCTTTAAGCCTTGGACCAGAAGGGAGTGGGACACTCATGTGAAGCAGCTCCTTATGGAATCTGCTTTGGATGCATGCTATCTAGATGTGGTACCAAGCACCTCTGCTTGTAGTGCTCAAAACTCTGAAAAGGACTCTTGCCATGGGAAGTCCCTAATGGCCCCTGCTCGGTGCCATTCTCTGTCCCTGGTGTGGCCCTCCAAAACAGCGAATCCTATTCTGGTAGCACCATCATTGACCTCAGGGCTGACTCCCTCAACGGGCTTCAAGGACTCCTGACCCCATGGTCCCACTGTGCAGGACTCCATCCGTGCAGCGAGTCCCATCTTCCTGGACTCCCCCAGGATGGAGGCAGTGCCCAGTGACCCGTCCTCCATGCTGGATGCCTTTAAGGCTGCAACGGGCTTGATGAGATGAACCAGTATCCTTCCTGTGGGAGGCCTTCCACCACACAGCAGACTTCATAGGGAAGGCCTGCTATGCTGAGGCCCCTGCCATCTGTCTTAGTGTCCCAGCATCGCTTGGAGTCCCGGTTGTTTTGGCTTTAGAATTATAGGAGTGATATTACATTGTTAGTACGTGGCTTTCATTCTCCTATCTTTGGGTTGGTTTGTAAGACTTATTAGAGATATTCACAGCATCCCACATGCTGTCACCACTCCCAGGCCAAATCAATGCTCTTCTTGGGGGAAGGTGGAAGAGTCCAACACGGAGTCAAATCTTGATGGATTTTATATGACCTTTTCCTTTTCACATTCAAGAGGGGAGGACTCCATCTCTTTGCAGATGCACTTGCTCCAGGGTATGAATCAGCAGCACTCTCAAAATACAAGGGTGACCTCTGAGCCAGCAAGGATCTCAGTATCAAAAGCAGGCAACATTGGTTTGTTTGAGCAGGCACCGATTTAAGCAAAGGTCCTTAGCCATGAGTCTGTTTTATGAATGATCTAAAAATTGAACCCTGTTTTTTGAAATGGGCCTCACCCAAGCATAGTATGCACTATTGCATGGGGATTATTGTTAGGGACTGCTTCCCCATACAATGGGCAATACTTAAGCCTTCGTGAGAGCATCACAGGGGAATACTTCACACTATGGGTATTACTAAATATATACAACTACAAAGACTCTAAAATAATGAAAGGGTGAGAGGTTAAGGCCATTCGTAGGTGTTAAGAAGGAACTGAGTAGGGGTGGCTTCATCTCATATGGTAAGGGGAGAGGCTATGGCCATGAAGTACAAGCACCTGTGTTCTACAGGTGCTGTGAGGCAAAATTCTCTGGCTCCAGTGCAGGTGTGCATGCCTGCTAAGTGGACTACACAGCTGCATCTTTGTGAAGAAACAGTATTTGCCATTACTAGCAAGCAGTAGCATGAAGCAATTAGATATCAAGAATCTTGTTAGGCTCTTTGCTGATGAACAGTAGAACCTGTTCCTGCCGTGGTGGCTGCCCTTCTTAAGTGACACATCCTGAGAAATACTAAGCCATTGGTTTTCAAATTGTTGTCCAATAACCATCAATTGTATCACTCATTTCCAGTTATTTGGCACAGCTGAGCCTACCATAATGGTGAAGCAGTCAATAGATTAAGCAATAACATTTCCAGGACTGAATTACAACTAACCAGGCTTTCAGAATATCTATAAGCTTTCTGATCAGATAAATTAAAAACATTACATTTATGTGGATGGCTGTATCCACCTCTCTTTCACCAATAAAGATAAATCCCCTCAAGTCAGCACTGAGCCACTTCAGCAAAGCAATGTGGGAAACTCACACTTCAACTGTGTGTTATACCTGCTCAGATAGTGACAGATTACCTAATTTTTGGGCTGTCAATCTAAAACTTCTCATCAACACAATTCACTGATAACTGTAATTTTGTAAAACATTGTGATATATCAGGATACAAGTCAAACTAATGAACAGCTTTGTCAATGCTGCCCATATAATAATGCCTTTCAAAAGTGGTAAGGTCAATGCAGTCTCATTCCCTGCATACAGAACGTAACTTATCCCGACTGATGGTTCCTTTAAATGAGACAGAGGATGGGGACTCTGTGATCTGTCCAGGTTTTTTCCTAATCATGTCTGGGTTATGTTTCTGCTCTGCATTTTCTTGGGCCTCATGCTTTTTCAGCTCCATAGCTGCCTGCAAGGAAGCCATTTCCTTTTCCTATTTCAACTTCTCAGCTTCTAGGGCTTTTTGGAGGGATGATTTTTGTTTTTCATTCAAATCCATACCTTGTTTATGGGAAGCTGCTTCTCTCATCTTCTTCTCATCTTTTAGGGCTCACCAGAGTGCAGCGGTTTCTTTTTCCTTACTCTCCATGGGTCAAAGAGGGCAGCTTCCCTCTTCTTCAATTTAGTCTCTGGTTACTATTCTTAGGGCATATCTATACTCACCACAAGATTGACGGTCCGCAGGTCAATCTTCTAGCATTTGATTTAACGGATCTAGTATAGCTCTGTAAATTGAATGCTGAGGGCATCCTCTGCTGGCATCCGGTACTCCTCCTTTTGCAAGTAGTAAGGGAAGCTGACAAAGAGCATTTGCTCCCATCGTCCTCCCGCTGTGTGGAAGTTGCCACAGTTGGCTTAAGGTAAGTGGATTCCTGCTATGCAAAATGTATTTCGCATAGCTGGAGTTGCATACCTTAAGCCAACATTCCCGGTCTAGTACAGACTTAGTGTTCATGTCCTTTGTCTCGCTTCTTTTTCCAATCTGGCCAGATCTAGCTTTTCAATTTTGCTGATGCTCAAATTTATGTTTTACACTGGATTAGGTAAAACAGATTTTAATTCGACATGTTTTTATAGCTATTTGAAACAATAAGCTGGTATGTTTCTTTAAAATATCTATACTGACCAGGAGAGAGTTAGGCAATACTGGACACATAGTTCTGTGGGAAAATTTGGGACTGGGGTTGTGTTGCAGTTATCCTGCAGTATAAGCAAAGGAAGGGCTGCACTCCGGCTATCATAGGTGTGGCTGACAGGCTGCAATTACACACAAACATATATTCAGGGTGTGGTTTGCATGTTGGAAAGCTATTTGTGAGCAGACCAAATGGGAGCTACTTCAACAAGAAACTGTAACACCGAAGGTTACAGGGCTGTGGTGATACTGACTAGCCAGTATCCTAGAATATCACAACCACACACTATGAATATAACTTATAGAAAAGGGGTGGGGAACCTAAGGCCTGGGGGCCAGATGCTGGGTGAAGGTATTTTTTGATTTTGTTTCTCATCTTTTGTTTTGACCCAAAAAGGTTCCCCACCCGTTACAGAGTAACAATGGACCTGAAAAACTGATGTCAGAAGTAACTTGAAGAAAAAGTAGTTAGTGAAAAGAATGATTAACTAACATTTTATGCTAAAACCACCAATTCACACTCTACCCTGCCCTGCTGTGTTTTCTCATTTAAATCTGGAATCGCTCCAATTACGTAAGTATAATAAAGATGACGTTAAAGTGGGTTGACACTGACAACTAGTACACAATCTGAAAAGCATTTTTTGTAGGCTCCTTACAGGCAACGTGTCAGGTCCCAGGCAACATTCTACCTATAGACACTAAACACTAAGCTGTTATCTGTGGTCAAATCCTCATCTCCATCATTATCCCACTATAAAATGGTACATTTGTAACTGTGACAGCCTGGTGGTGTGAATGAACAAAGAGCCATCAATTTTCTCATTAAGCAGATATCTTTTGCTTGGAAAAGAATGAAACTAATTTCTAACTAACAAAACACTTATTGCTTTGCTACCTATTGAAAGTACATCTCTCTACTTTATAAAGTCTACATTTGAAAAAGAAACTAAGGAAGTAGTATGAAACATTTAGTTTAACTTAAGAATTGAGAGTAAGTAAGTTTTGGAAAACAGATATGGTCACTGAGTTGCACTAAAAGTTTAATGTCTGTTTTCCAGTCAGGTATCAGAAGACTTATCAATACATGGTATTATAGTAAATGAATAATCCTGGAGCCATCTTTATAAACAACTCTAAAACTGGTATTCCAAAGGGAATCAGAGGTTTAAAAAATACCACTAATGCAGATTTTCCTTCACCTTTAATTATCTCTTTTTTTTATTTTCATAAGTCAAATGTGTCAATATATTGATACTCCTAAATCATCATCCATCATCCATTTTGATTCATAAGTATACCTTTACTGTTTCCAGTTATGATATTTCAAAATCTCTTTGGAATACTAATTTCATCTTAATAGGTTTCTTCAACTTTTTTTTTAACTCCACCCTATTTCCCTGAATCGTTGCTCAAGACAGTTGCTGATGTAAAGTTTAATATAAAATATTTTGTCACAAAATAGTATTGCTTTTGTATGCACATTGTGGCAAGAATTATTTTTTTCAATAAAAACTATACCATCTTCCATAAAATCCTACACATATTAAGATTTGTGATGCAGAACAAAATTACACAGGGTGAAACAGGTACCAGCACAACAGTGAGATTATATTACATCAAAAATTTTTAATGGTCCCAAATATATACTCAACAACTAAGCATACACTCAGGGGGCAAAATAAAATAAAATAAAATAAAATTATGACACAAAAGTGACCACATCTAGAATTCCACTCAATCTTTAATCAAGAAGGGACAGACCAATCCCCCACCTCCAAAAAATTCTGCAGTTTAAAGGGCAAAAGGGAACAGATAAAAAAAGAGGAAATTTTATATTCAGGCCTTCCCCCATAGAGGTTTTTAAAACCTGTTGCAGCTTGACTAAAATGTTCAAAATGTATGATTTCAAAGGCAGGTCTCTTTATACAAAGAAACTGCTGGCATTCTTAGTGAAGAATTATAGCAAGACAGCCTTTTCTTCAAAAGTCTCATACATTGTCCAAGAAAGCATATTCTGATTGTAGCAACTGACCAGCCAATCCAGAGTTCCATGAACAAAACTCCTGCCCTGTTGGCTTTTTATGTTTCCATTTCCTTCCCTGAGAAAAGGGCAATGTGTGGTCCAAGTTGGAGAGCTCAAAGGCGTAAGTCTTCCCCCAAATGTAATATTTTCCCCTTCTTCTGCTCCTTTGAATTGGCACTTGATTAGCAGAAATCAATTTGTAAAGGCTGATCTGTGTCTCACACAGTATTTTCACAAAAGATTGCTGCTTTGTTGTGTGTTATTTTTAAATTTGAAAAATTAGTAGGTTTTCTTTTTTCCCCAACTGGAATTGATGTTCGTTGCCATTATGACGACTCAAGTTTTGCTTTCTTTGACAAAGGTAGAGTTTCTTCCTTATCTTCATCTTCATCATCCTCTTCATCATCATCAGGATAATCTACAAGCCCCACTAAGCCTCCCTGTGAAAAAAATGTAAACAAGTCATACACAAAAATGAACCAGATACTGTTCAATGTCAAAAGATATCAGAAAATATTATAAGCACAAGAATACTGATAAGTATGAAGTTTTGTATAAAAATATACTCCAACATGCACAAAAGTAATGTCTTTTGCAAGTACTGATTATGATAAGTCCAAACAAACAAAAACAAACAAACAAAGGGGTTGGGGTGGGGAGGAGGGTTATACCCCTCCAAACAATCCTACCTGAAGGGATAATTTGTGTGGAAATTAAAGAAAATGAAAACTACTTAGTAAGCATTTGTCATTGCAGCTCTATCTGTACAAAGATGGAAATTTCCTTTACCTAAGATAGTTGACTGGACTGCAGCAATGAGCGATCTGGCAGAACTTCAGAGACAATATGGAACATCCTTCAAATTGAATTATCAATTAGGATAATTTTATAATATGGTCTCTTTTCACTAATGCTAATTCACTAAGTAGCAACAGTAATTTTAAATATGTTTATTATATGCAAAGTAGCTACATTATATGATGTGAAGGTTACAAAATGTAAACGATTTTAGGAAATTCAAAAAAGTATATCTGGCAACATTAACTTATCTACACTGTATATGCTGACCAAAACATTCTAATTTATATGCCTATGGTTAGGCATCTACATCCATGTTTAGGCACCTAAATAAGTGATGATCTTAGGAGGCAGTAAACACCCACAATGCCCATTTATTACAATATTTTTTAATTTCTGGAATGTATTCAACACCTGACTACCAAGAGTTGTGGCTAAGCAAGTACTTCTGAAGATCAAGTCACTCATTTAGGTGCCTAACTTTAGACACCCAAATTAGAATATTTTGGCCACTGTATGCGGGGGTATAAATGCACCAAGTATATTGTACATTATACACAAACAACATAGGGTAGTATTTTAGACAGCATAACACTATATCTATATAGAATAGGAGCTAATAAATGCTGCTAGAAAATCTAATTGCAATGTTATTTCTAATGGGCTCATATATGAACAATTATAGCAATTTTAGAGCAAAACATTCAGAATCCACATATATATTATTGTATATATTTAATTAGGAGGATGACACCTTACACAAAAAGACCACTATTGTCCTGTTTTAATAGATAACCCAACAAATTGTACAACAACAGTGTAAATACAAGATTTTCCTAGTACAGGCAGTCCCCAGGTTACGTACAAGATAGGGACTAAAGGTTTGTTCTTAAGTTGAATTTGTATGTAAGGGTACGTACGTCTACACTACAGCGCTAATTCGAACTAAGCTAATTCGAACTAACAGGTCTAGAACTAAAAACTAGTTTGAATTAGCATTTTGCTAATTCGAACTAGCAAGTCCACATTGAGTGGACTCTGAACAGGGCTTAAGGATGGCTGGAAGCAGTGCTGGCAGGGATCGAACTAAGCTAATTCGAACTAACAGGTCTAGAACTAAAAACTAGTTTGAATTAGCATTTTGCTAATTCGAACTAGCAAGTCCACATTGAGTGGACTCTGAACAGGGCTTAAGGATGGCTGGAAGCAGTGCTGGCAGGGCATCAGAGGAGGACTTAGAGCGTGGAGATGCTGTCTCAGGCTAGCCGAGGGCTGCGCTTAAAGGGTCCCGACCCCCACCCCGGACACACAGTTCTAAGGGGTGCCCCGCTTGCAAAGAAGTTCTGGCTTGGATTGCCCGGAGTACCCACACTGGGCACATCACACCACTCGGCCATCAGCCCGGCTGCACTTGCCGCAGGCTGCCATCTGGGGAGAGGGGGTATTTGGGGGGCTGCAGGAGAGCTTCCACCCCCAGAAGCCCGCAGAG